TTCAGGTGTACAGCAAAGTGATTCAGTTATACATATACATACATTTTTTTTTCAGATTCTTTTCTAATATCTGTTATAAGAAATTGAATATAGTTCCATGTGCTATCCAGTAGGTCCTCAGAAAATGTACATTAAATAAATTTGTATGTTTTTCTCCTGTTCATCTGTCTTTGTCAGGTTAATTTTCAGACTTGGCCAGGGACCCTCAGAGAGTCAAGAAAAACATTTTCCTTTCCTATGTCTGTCAACTTTCATCCCTGATGGATGAAATCTTACTAAACAAAGGAGCTGAAATTGTCTTTGGTGCAATAAAGGGAAAAAAATTTTTTTAATGGAGGTACTGGGGTGAACCCAGGATCTCTTGCATGCTAAGCATGCTCTCTACCTCTGAGCTATTACCCTCTCCCCAAGGAAATATTGTGAGTGAGGGCGAATGCAGCCTGAGGGGCAGTGCAGCGCAGAAAAATCCCCATGGTCAGTCCTGAAGCTGTTCCTGCTCTAAGCTGCTACCTTTCCTCTGGAAAACTGGATCAGAACATACCTGTACAGGCTCTGATTTTTTTTTTAATAATCACAGCCTTTGCTCCTGGAGTGAGCGGAGCCAGTGAGTGTGAGCCCAGGCTGGCTTATGCAGTCCAGGGATTAGACACACGATAGGAGTGCAAAGTGCTGGAGAGAGTGTAAGGGTCCTTCCAGACAAGCCAGACGGCCACCTCGTCCTTACAGACGAAGACGTTATTAATCACCTTCAATTGCAAAAATGATAGTTTGCATTCACTCTGTGTAAGTGATTTCATCAACTACTCTTTTATCCCACAGGAGGATAAAAGAAGAACTGCCACTTGTCCCTCGAGAGAGCTGGCATCCCGGACAACAGGGACACCAGCTCCTTTCTGCGGTTTTCCCCCAGTTGGTGCAGGGATCTGAGACTTGTCCTTTCAGGGTAGGACAGAAGCCTAGAATTCAGCCATAAGCCCAAAGGAAGGGTGGCCTAGTGATCTTCTAGGCTGTTTTTCTCCCCTCGTTGCTGCGGGCGGAAGTAGCTCTTGCGACCCTGCTTAGGAGCACGGTAAAGCCAGGTCCGCCTTCATCTCGTTGAAGGTGGTGGGACGGTGACTGGAAGGTACTAGTTATTTCCTTCTCGTTCTAAACCCCCCCTGGGACTACACTGCCAGTCAAAGCCTGTGCTCCCTGCATAATAAGACAGGAACGCTGTGCAGAGGCGATGCTAATGGCAGCTAAATATAGATGGCAGCTCCTAGGCGCACCGCCTGCGTGTGTGCCTGCACGCACATTAGAACAATTACGGGAACTCGGAGGCTTCCGCGCTGCGTAATTATAACCTTGACTTGGGAAAGCGTGAAGTTCTCTGGCTGGGGCCAGGGCTCTCCTTATGTTAAAGGGCATTCCTGGACCAGCAGCTGGAAGTGCTCTGTCCTTGGTCACCTTTGGACTTGGTGACGCCCAGGGTGGTATTACATAAAGGTGTCCATTGTCACTCGGAATGTGTGGGGCTCAAAGGACAGTCCTACATGGGCGGAGATTAACAGGCCTCATTAGTGAGTCACATTCCTTCGCTTCTCCATCCCTTATAATTAGGGTGTCAGGCATCCTTGTTGGTCCCAGTCTCCGTTGATGCCTACTGAGTCAAGGTAATTATTAATAACGCCCCCTTTCACTCTCAGAAGGGACGTAGTAGGTGATCAGTATTACGATCACCGGTTTGTAATCCTCCAGAAGAAGGAGGGTGACAACGCCCCTTGGTGGGTGTGGACCCCTGAGAGCCAGCCTGGGTAAGAGGGCTCTAGGCTGAACAAAGAGCAGGGAGAAGCAGCTTTTCCACGCCCCTCTAAAGAGCCGCGGCCGCCCCTAATGGCTCGTAGCAGCTGCACACCCCCGGCTGCTGGGGCACCGGGCTGATCAAACTAAGCCGGGGGAGGGGGAGCCTGTTGGCCTGCGCAGGATGGCCAGGCTGGAAAAATCAAATGGTTCCTGCCATCCAGTCGACCCTAGACCTGACTGAGATGAAACGGTCACCTGGCTGCTGGCCTCCAAGCCTTCAGGTCGTAGCTTAAGAGAAACGTCAGAACCAGGCTTGTGCAGAGGATACTGGCCCCTGTGGGACTGGTCCTGTTTGTAGGGTCTTCTCCCCATGCTGGGTCATTTCCAGACCCCCCGTCAAAGGCCAAGTATTCTGTGATTCTACATGGATTCTACATCTACCTGGAGTGATGAGAATGAAGAGGGATGGGTGGAATGATAGCCTTACCCTTAAAATATCTCAAAGATCTGATGCCTCCGGACTAAACCCTTTCTCCCCCAACTCCACTGGAACGAAGGACTTTCTAATCCCTCAGCCCTAACGAGTGTTTCTTCCTGCGGGAGGTGGCCAGGGCCAACAGGGGACTGGGTTTTCTTGAGCAGGTTGCTGGTGACAGGCCAACTCCACGGGGAAAATTCTCATCTAGGGCCTGATCTGTGAATTACTCTATAATTCATCAGCTCTGCCTAAAAGCTATAGAACACATCGATCACCATCAGGCTGTCAAAACAGTCACTCAGCTGACGGGAATAACTTATTCGGGCTTTTAAAAAGACCACTCTTTTGCAGAGAGGTTGATTGAGTTTCTGCCTGTGCCCAAAAAGTGCCTTCGCATGCAGATTACCGCAGGAGGATTTACTGCAGAGAATAAAGTCTGGAAACTTGCTGGGTAGGGGGCACTCAACAGACCCAGAGATGACCAGTTATGGCAAATGAAAAGGATGCTCAAGATTTAACTCTGTAAAGATGGGCGGCGTTGGGTATGGGGTTGGCCTGGTATCACAGTCCAAAAACCTCTCCTACCCATGGACCAGCCCCCATCACATCCACAGCGTTGGGTGAAGTGGGGTGAGGAATTCTACTGAGCATGCCGCCGGGTCGCTCCTCGGAGGAATGGGAGGAGGTGGAGGAGAGACCCGTGGAATCCCAAGATTGTTTGAACATGATGTTACCGATACAAATACTTGTTTGAATTCCAAATCAAAACTCCTGACTTTTAAATGTAAAAAAATAAAAAAATAAAAAAATAAAAAA